CCTCACTGTGTTGCCCAGGCTGGAGTGATGGAGTGAACTATTGTGATCTCTACTCATTGCAACCTCTGCCTTCAGTGCTCAAGTGATCCTCCTGCCTCAGACTCTTGAGAAGCTGGGACCACAGCATGCACCATGACAGCTGGCTAATTTTTTGTATTTTTGGTAGAGATGGGGTTTCACCATGTTGCCTAGGCTGGTCTAGAACCCCAGAGCACAAGTGATTCATCCGCCTCAGCCTCGCAGAGTGCTGGAATTACAGGCATGGGCCACCACATCCAGCCTCTCTTCTTTTTTATGTAGGCACTTGTAGCTATAAACTTCCCTCTTAGTACTGCTTTCACTGTGTCCTCTAGGTTTTGGCATGTTGTGTTTCCATTATCATTTGTTTCAAGAAATTTTTCAGTTTCTCTCAATTTCTTCATTGACCCACTGGTCATTCGGGGCATACTGTTTAATTTCCATAAGTTTCTATAGTTTCCAAAATTCCTCTTGTTGTTGATTTCTAGTTTTATTCTATTGTGGTCAGAGACGATCTTTGATATTAATTATTTCCTCAATTTTTGAATATGTTTTAAGAGTTGTTTTGTGATCTAACATCTCTGTTTAGTTTGTTTGGTGAGAACATGTTTTCCCGGATAATCTTGATGCTTATGGATGTTCTTCAGTGTCAGGGTATTGAAGAGTTGTGTTTATCGTAGTCTTTGCTGTCTGAGCTTTTTTGTACCTGTCCTTGTTGGCAAGGCTTTCCAAGTATTCAGAAGGATTTGGGTGTTGTGATCTAAACCGTATCTACATTAGGGAGCACCCCAAGCCCAGTAACACTGTGGCTCTAGAAGACTCTTAGAGGTACTGCTTTGGTGGTCTTGGATAAGATCCAGAAGAATTCTCTGGATTACCAGACAGAGATACTTGTTCTTTTCCCTTACTTTCTCCCAGACAATCTCTCACTCTATCTTTGCTGTACTACCTAGAGCTGGAGGTGGGTGACACAAGTACCCCTGTGGCCACTAATTTCTATTTTTTAAGACTTCCACCCATGTATATTATTATTATTAAAATGCTTATTTATGTTTAATGATAGATTTCAGATTGCAGTTAATCTGAGTGTGGAACGCTATGCCCTGGTATTTGGAATCAATACCTTTATTGCCTTGGTGATTCAGACCATCATGACTGTGATTGTAGCAGATCAGAGAGGGCTTAACTTGCCAATCAGCATTCAGGTAAGCTGCAATACTTCTGTTTTCAACTAGGTAATCTCAAAGATTTCTCAACCTTACAACAAGCAATATTTAAATTTCTGAATTCCTTGGTTAAGCAAACTTAAAAATATATACAATTCCTTAATTATCATATTATAACACACTAAGTAGGTTTTAAGCAATAATTGCATCTAAGACAACATTTACCTGGATAAGGCAGGTAAAAAGTAACCTCAGTGCTTAAATTTATTCTTGGAGACATTGACTGTAGCATTGCACTGGCCTTGAAACAAAGATATAGGGATAGATCAATGAGATTTAGTGCTTTTCTGTTTTGTTTTGTTTTGCTTTTTACTATTGATGACAGTGGCTATGATTTTAACCCAAGCAACCTGCTCTGAAGCCAAGACTCTGAGTCACTATATTGCTTGCATTTTCTTACTTGATCTTGATTTCTTGCTTGATAGGAGGGTATTGTTCAACCTAAAAGACCAATATTTAAAAACCTGGGTCTCAGTTATCCCATAATCCAAGCAAACCAACAGTATCATGATGTATTATCATTGACATAGATGGGCATATTTTATATGTGGCTAATTATTTGTTTTTCTCCAGTTTTTAGTTTATGGGAGCTATTTTGCAGTAATTGCTGGAATTTTCTTAATGAGAAGCCTGTATATTATCTACTCAACCAAATGCCAGAAGGATCTACAGAGCCTGGCTCCAAATGAGAAACCAGACGGGTCACATCCAGAGGAAGAGAGTAATATCATCATGTCAATAAAACTCTAACCTCATTGCATCAACTGCAGCAGTAGCTTTCAAAGTTATGCAATAATAAGGAAGGATTTGAGATGGGTGGCATATGTTTTGCCATAACCTGACATGCTTTGCAAATCTGGATCCCAATGGACCTTTCAAAACCGCAACAAAACTTCAGTTTTAGATGAGTTCTCCATGTGCCCAATTTTACTGGATGCCATTGACAGGACCCATCATCACAATTAAACAACCCATATTGGGGACCTCCTGTGACTAGTAGCAACTGGAAAATTCTGGGTTTTATCACTTGTAAGGACATGCAGATGGCATAGAACAAAACCACGAGAAAACTCCAGCCATCCTAGAGGTAATATTCATCATTTGTGAGGAGAAATACTAGCGGGACAGATCCTCTTGCTTGGCTTAAATACTTGTTTGATTTTACCAAAGAAGTCAACACCTGGGACATTTTTGTCACACAAGCCATTTTCTTTCCTCTTCTAATAAGTATATTTCTGTTTAAGTTATAGTTCTCTAAGAGAATTACAAGGTTTGTCCCACTTCTAAGAGCTTCTCTTCAACTCTGATAACCGCATTATTCACAAGTTATACTTTGATAGTGTTATTATTAAATTTTTTAATGATTATTTTTTATTTTGTGTTCTGAGTTTTGCTGTTGAAAGTCTACCTCAAGCATAGCTCCAGATCCTCTTGTGTATTTTCAGAATGACACTCAGGTCATTTCTCAGTGGCATGGGAGAGGCAGTGAGCCTTCTCTCCACCTTTATCCTATAGAGGTGTTAATGCATCTATGGGCCAGGTGTGGTGGCTCACTCCTGTAATCCCAGCAATTTGGGAGGCCAAGGTGAGAGTTTTGCTTGAGGCCAGAGGTTCAAGACCAGCCTAGGCAACACAGTGAGACCTGACTCTGCTAAAAAATTAAACCATTAGCTGGGCAGCATGGCGTGTGCCTGTAGCCCGGCTACTTTGGAGGTTATGGTGGGAGGATGGCTTGAGCACAGCCATCAGAGACTGCAGTGAGCTGTGATTGTACCACTGCACTCTAGCCTGGGGAACAAAGTAAGACTCCCATCACCTCCCGCACCCCACAAAAAAAAGAGCACCTGTGTGATGTCTGTCTAAAACAGGAAAACTTAAAGGAGGTTTCTAGAAGTACTAAAAATAAGAAAACACGGATGGAAAGAGTGTGTGGAATAAAACACCAGATTTTTTTTCTTTTCTTTTTTTTAGAGACAGAGTCTCACTTTCTCACCCAGTCTGGAATGCAGTGGCGCGATCTTGGCTCACTGCAAACTCCACCTTCTGGGTTCAGGGCATTCCCCTGCCTTAGCCTCCCAAGTAGCTGGGACTATGTGTATGCACCACCATGCCAGGCTAATTTTTGTATTTTTAGTAGAGAGGGGGTTTCACCATGTTGGCCAGGCTGGTCTCGAACTCCTGACCTCAGGTGATCCGCCCGTCTCTGCCTCCCAAAGTGTTGGGATTACAGGTGTGAGTCACCTCGCCTGCTCTGTTATCCTTCTTTTTTAACTTATTATACTGGAGGTGTTAGACATCACAATTAGACAAGCAAGAAAAATCAGAAGTCAAAAATTGGAAAGGAGGCAAGGTGCAGTGGCTCACACCTGTAATCTCAACACTTTGGAAGACTGAAGTGGACAGATCACATGAGGCTAGGAGTTGGAGGCAAGCCTGGGCAACATGGTGAAAATCCATAGGTGCTGAAAATATGAAAATTATCCAGGTGTGGTGCATGCCTGTAATTCCAGCTACTCGATGGCTGACACACAAGAATCACTTGAACTTGGGAGGCAGAGGTTGCAGTGAGCTGAGATTGTGCCACTGCACTCCAGCCTGAGTGAGACCTGTCTCCTAAAACAAAATAAAACAAAAAAAAAGCCTGGGTGTGGTGGCTCATGCCTGTAATCCCAGCACTTTTGTGGGGGGTAAGGCAGGCAAATCATTTGAGGTCAGGAGTTCAAGACCAGCCTGGCCAACATGGTGAAATCCCGTCTCTACTAAAAGCACAAAAAATCAGCTGGGCATGGTGGCGAGCATCTGTAATATAACCCCAGCTACTTGGGAGGCCGAGGCAGGAGAAGTGCTTTAACCCTGGACGCAGAGGTTGCAGTGAACCAAGATCTCGCCACTGCACTCCAGCCTGGGCAACAAAATGAGACTCCATTTCAAAAACAGAAAAAATTAACCTGTAAGTCTTTGGAGATTTTAGACTATGATAAAGGTAGCATCTCATAAAAGGAGGGAAAATATAGACTAATAAGAAAGAAACAATTTGGTGGGGGGAAGACATAATGTGGACTCAAACATGCTATAGTGACTATCAAACTACAAAAGTACTAGAGAAAAACATGTAAGAATTATTTTATAGCCTCAAAGCTTTTTAAAGCAAAAAAAAAAATCCTAGAGGTCATAAAAGAAAAAATGTCAGTAGCATGAGGCAGGATAATTGCTTGAACCCAGGAGGCAGAAGTTACAGTGAGCAGAGATCGCACCATTGCACTCCACCAGCCTGGGCGACAGAGTGATGCTCTGTTTCAAGGGAAAAAAAAAGCAAAAAAACTAAACTTATGCATGAAAGAACAACACAGCAAAGCCAAAAGACAAATAATCATCTGGGAGAAATATTGCAACTCACATCAGTACCACAAGCTACTTTTTCTAATTTGTAAAGAACCAATACAAATTGGTTAAAAAAAGAAGAGAGATCAACAGCCTAATAGAAAAATGAGCAAAGGACATGAACAGGGAATTCAGAAAAAGGAAAATACTAGTTGCTTAGAGATGTAAAAGATGCTTCAATTTACTCATACAGTAAATTAAAACTACACAGATATGCCATTTTTCACCTATCAGACTGGAAAATATTCCTAAAGTGTAACAATACACTGTTCTCCAGGAGTAGGTTAATATATTAACCTCAAAGCAGTCTCAAAGACTGTTGGCGGGAGTGTAATTCATTTCATTGCTATGAAGGAAAATCTGTCATTCTCAAAATTGCAAATATATGCATCTTTAAACCTATCCATTTCTCCTCTGAAGCATATGCACACTGCCTGCTTGCCTGCGAACTGACTTCTAGAGAAGGTCTTTCATTACAGTATTGTTCCTAAGAACACAGAATTGAAAACAATTTAAATTTCAATGAAAGGGGACAAAAATGCATTATGATTCACTCACATGTTGACCTATAACAAAATTAACTGACAAAACATGAGGAAGATCTTTAAATAGTGACACAGAACTCTAAGAGCTCTACTATCAAGTGGAAAAAGGTCCAGCACCAAAGTAGTAATGAATGCAGCAATTCAGCATTTGTATAAAAAGGAGAAAAAGATTTGTATTGCCTTATATATGCATATAACTTTCCTGAAAAGACAAATGGGGCCAGGCACGGTGGCTCACACCCGTAATCCTATCACTTTGGGAGGCTGAGTCAGGTGGATTGCTTGCACTCAGGATTTCAAGACCAGCCTGGGCAACATGGTGAAACCCTGTCTCTAGAAAAAATACAAAAATTAGCCGGGCATAGTGGCTCACACCTGTACTTCCAGCTCCTTGAAGGGCTGAGAAGGGAGAATTGCTTGAGCCCAGTAGGTGGAGGTTGCAGTGAGCTGAGATCATGCCACTGCACTCCAGCTTGGGTGACAGAGTAAGACCCTGCCACAAATAAATAAATAATAAACAAACAAATAAATGAAAGTAATGCCAGTGATTGCCTGCTGTAGAGTAATGGGAAATGGGAAGGAGATATCACATTCTCATGGCATTTGATGCTTGCGCCAAATGAATTAACCACCACTAAATTAAAATACTACTTTTCCAAAAAACGTTTAACTTCTTGGGCAATAAATTCACATTGAAAAATAAGGAGCTGGAGATTTGCTATGCAACTATTATGATGGTTTAATGTTTTTGGCACTGTGAATTGATTACTAAATGTGCATTTATAATTAAAGGGAACAAACAACAGAAGAAAGAAATAAGTAGGCCTGGTTGGGAATGGTGACTTGTGCCTGTAATCCCAGCACTTTGGGAGGCTGAGGTGGGAGGATCACTTGAGCCCAGGAATTCAAGACCACCGAGGTCAACATAGTGAGACCTCCATCTAAAAAAAATTAATAATAATAAATAGACCTGACATTGAAACATTAAATTAAAATTTTTATTTGGTATCTCGTTAATGAAATTTTTGTTTTAAATAACGACCCATCATGTAACTACCAGTCACTTTAGGGTATCATTTCCTCAATCAGGAAAGAGGCTCATAGGCTATATGAAACTGGTTCAAAGTCAAGCACGCAGGAAATAGTGAGGGTGCAATTTGAATTCAAGTATGTCTGACCACAAAAGTTGTGGTCTTTCTACGATACCAGCCTGCTCCATACTCAACACTGGAGAGTACTGTATCCACTCATGAAAGATAAAAATCTATCCCCCTGGTTCAAGGACTGGTACTGATCAGTGGCCTGTTAGGAACTGGGCCACAGAGCAGGAGGTGAGTGAGCAAAGCTTCACCTGTGTTTACAGCTGTTCCCCATCACTCACATTACCACCTGAGTTCCGCCTCCAATCAGATCAGCAGAGGCATTACATTTTCATAGGAGGGGGAAACCTACTGTGAACACAGTGTGCTAGAGATCTAGGTTGCGTGCTCCTTATGAGAATCTAATGCCTGATATCTGTCACTGTCTCCCATCACCCCCAGATGGGACTATTTAGTTGCAGGAAAACAAGCTCAGGGCTCCCACTGATTCTACATTATGGTGAGTTGTACATTATTTCATTATATACTACAATGACATAGTAATAGAAATACAGTGCACAAAGCCAGGTGTGGTGGCTCATGCCTGTAATCCCAGCACTTTGGGAGGCCGAGGCAGGCAATCACTTGAGGTCAGGAGTTTGAGGTCAGCCTGGCCAACATGGTGAAACCCCATCTCTACTAAAAATACAAAAATTATCCTGGCATGATGGCAGGCACCTGTAAACCCAGCTACTCAGGTGGCTGAGGCAGGAGAATTGGTTGAACCTGGGAGGCAGAGGTTGCAGTGAGCCAACATCGCGCCATTGCACTCCAGCCTGGGAGTCAGTGAGACTGTGGGGGACCACTGCTCTAGAGGAGCCCACTAACCAGCACAATTTCAACTTATAGGATTGCAGGGAAATTAAGTGTTGTGAACTTTAAAGTATATTTTAGGTTAACTCAGGAGTAGCTAGAAAATATTTTGATCTAAAGAATCTTTGTATTTCAAAGTTTCTTACTCAACTGCCTTTTACTGGGCACCATAAAAATCAGTGAGGGTTGGCCAGGTGTGGTGGCTCATGCCTGCAATCCCAGCACTTTGGGAGGCGAAGACAGCAGGGTTGCTTGAGGCCAGGAGGTCAAGACCAGCCTGGGCAACATAGTGAGACCACGGCTCTACAAAAAAACTTTTTAAAAAATTTGCTGGGTGTGGTGATATGCATCTGTAGTCTTGGCCACTCAGGAGGCTGAGGCGGGAGGATCATCTAAGCCCAGGAGATCGAGGCTGCAGTGACATATGATTGTGCTCTTCAGCCTGGGTGACAGAGACCCCATATTCTAAAGAAAAAAAAAGTCAGTGAAGTTAA